AAAAAATCATATTTTCTGTTTTTTCAGTAAAACTATAAAATAGAGTTTTAAGCCGACATACTTAAAATACATCAAGATTTTTTTTCAACACAAAAACAAATTTCTTTGAACTCAATTTATTTCTCTCAATGTTAAATATCATATTTTCCAATAGGATAAAAAAGTAAGAGAGTTTCATTTTGCTTTTGGACAGTAAAAAAAGTGGTTCGCTAAAATAAATCAAGACTATTTTCATTGCACTAGGAGGTTCAACTCTGTGGTTTCCCCTCATATATCATTTTGTTCCTGAAAAGTCGATTAAAAAATTATTTTATCGATGAAATATATAATTATTATTACCTTATGTAACCACATTTTGTTAATATGTTTTAGTCGTAAAGATATAAATGTGTACCTGGATTTGAAAAAAAGTCAGCTGTGCTTGAAAAATACATTTAAACTTTCACATTTATATAAATATTAAAATATTTATACTATTTTGCAATATTTTTATTACATATATTCATTTTTCTACTAATTTTTTATATCACACCAAATGAGAGCTTATAAAATAAAGAGTTTGAGAGGGTTAAATTTTCTTATAGCAACGTTGAAATAGTTAATATATTTGAAGCAAAAAGAGTTTTAAAAAATTCGTGTAAAAAGTACTTAAAATTGCAATAAATTTTGACTAGTTTTGAATTTTGAGCAAAAAAACTCGTGGTTATTTCGTAAATGAAAATGGCCCTTTCAGAACGTAAAATTTAAACTTTGTATTTGCAATTCAACGGACTGTCTAAATTGAGGAAGGATACGGACCACCCTGGGCTTGGCGATTTAAATAGAAGAAGAAGCAACAGAAGACTTAAGTATAAGTTAAGCAAAAACGCAATCAGTTCACGGATCTATGGTTGCTGATTCAACTTTTACATAATGTGGCCCTATACTTTGAAACCCGTACCTGAGTAATTGGTTTGTTTGCTTTTAGCCAACTAACATTTTCGACAAAATTTATGTCATAGAAAATAAAATCCTTAGATTAAAAATAAACAGATAATGTGTAAGAAATCAAACAATTAGAGACGACCTCAAACTATCCGTACTTTCAGAGTATATTGCTAATCCCAATTCTAGTTTCCACAGACACTATGCATAGTATGTAAATAATCTCTAAATAATTTTTGAATAGTAACTGTTAAAGTTATTTTCGTCACATGTTATTTAATTCCTATGTTAAACCTGTGGCTCAATGGACTGATCTTAAAAACTCTGTTCCCAGTATAACACCCAAAATCAAGCAATCAAGCATCACTGGTTGCGGTCAGTTAGAGGGTTACAACTTTAATCAGTCTGCAAGGTACCGAGGTTTCGCGGTATCAGTCATCCTTAAACTGTAAAGTGCTTGTCTTTGCTTGTAGGTTTTCGGACTACCAAAACTGAGGAGCCATCCCCTCAACAGAGGATCAAAATTGGGATGGCATACCTTCGCCTTTGCACATAACTTTTCTTTTTTTTTTCTTTCTTGAATTTAAATTTTATGTTATGCGTTAGTTCTCTCTCATTTGTTTATTGCAAACTAGTTTTTATCACCTACTATTTTCTATTCTTACCATATCAGGCGAATCTGTGAAAGGCTTTCGGCTGGTAACGAGAGACAAAAAGATCTTTATTTATTTAATTAAGACCTAAGGTCAAAATGAATAAAAGACTGTACATATTATTAAAATTGTTATGCTGGTACGAAATCTACACCCGGCTTGCGTGGACTACAGTGCTGACGTAAAATACCCTCAGTGGAAGACGGATCATCCGTTAGAGTACCCTTGCCTTCAACCTAACCATCAAAAAATTCTCCCATAAAAATTCCTCCCAATACTTGATTCAGGAATTCCCTTGCCTTCTGTGTCAGTTCAGAATTACATCGTTACTTAGTTAAACATTCAGACTTAAAAAAATCTGAATTAAGTCCGTTGTTCAACACCCGGTTATAAAATAACATATTTATATTAAGTAGTCACCCAAATTAAAAACATAATAGTAAATATTGTAGATCATTTCTAATGTGAATGCTTTTTAAAAAGAACTTCTATCGCCCTGGAACATTGACATTACAGAAGACAGAATTTTTTTTTAAAAATATGAATCAATCTTTTACAGTATTTATTTTTCATAATTTACTTCCATATAAAAAAAAATCCGAGCCAATCAAATATAACAAATATATATCACACATTGCCTGAAGTTCAAAATAATGGCTTTTAACCCTTACTACCTGATCCTGGTGTTCCCAATTACGAGTAAGGTTAAGTAGAATGTAGGCGTTACCATTAATTTCCCATGTTATTCATTTTGTTATCGGTTTTTTAACAATAATTAATTTAATTAATAAAAGATGAAACTTGTACAAAGAACGCATTATTGTAACGTTACTATAGTAATAAAATGTAATTTTCAAAATAATAATTTCCTGAAGGTTAAAATCATATGAAAATATAGAGCATTTTGAAAATTTACCTTTATTTATGCACTTACAACCAAAAGGATACAATGAAATATCGCAGCTTCAAAGTTCTGGCAATCGCAGTGAATCCTACGCCAACAAAACAATGTACCGTGTTTTCCTTGCATTGCCTATCAAAAAATCTAATGCATGGTGTGTTTTATTTATTTATTTTTTATCTTTTTAAGAAACATTACCAAAAATTTGATTTTTTTGATTTACCAGTATTTAATCATTTGAAATTTTATAATATTTTCTAAAAGTTTTATCAGTTTATCACCTTGGTTGGCTAGAGAAGAGAAATTTAGAAAGCCTTCTGCGTAATTGATTGAGCGTGGAGGGTAAGCAAAGAAATACAGGGACCAGGAAGTGCAATTCTCCCTAGAGATGGGCAAAACTGCTACTTTTCAGTCACTGTTACTTCTGCTACTGGGACCCAAAAGTAACAGTGACAAATAGCAGTGACTGTTATTATTTCGATATAGATTTAATCGATATTTTATATCGATTAATCGTTTTTATTTATAAAAACTTCGTATAAATTAATCGATTAAGTACTTTAGTTAATAATCGATATGATTAGTTTTTAGTTAATTTAATCGATATAATATTTTTATTGTAAAATTAATCGCTGTAATTAGTTTTTAGTAAAATTAATCTATATCATCAATTTTTAATGTAGTCAATTAAAATAATTAATCTTTATACTGAGTCATTCTTATGGAAAGAGATAATTTTTAATAATGTATATCGCAGTACGCAATTTAGTAGTATGGTTTTTAATAACTAATATGGGACCTTATTTAATTCTTGTAAAATGTTAAAATAACAAAATCAAAGCTTTTATCTCAGATAAGATATTAAATTAAAACTCATAATTCTTCTCGTTACTAATATTTTCATAATGATATTACAGTGAAAATCTGATCTCAAAATTTTTGTAGTTGAGTTATTGGCATTTAAAAACGATGAATGATGAGATTAATTCAATATTTTATATTATAGAATACTGATTTCTTCATTAAATGTACAGTAAAATGAAAACTTAATCGCAAGTAAATTTTTAGTAATGTTGTCAAACAAAAAATATCACCGTATTAATGAAATTCTTCATAGCTTTTCAAACTTTTATGAAGATTTTTTCTCCTTTATAAAAGAAAAGAATGCGTNTTAGAGATCTGCCAGTATAATCTATTATCCGTAGTAGCTGTTTTGTTGTATCAAGTTTTTCGCGGAATCCATATTTTTCATCTGGTAAATCGGTTAGGAGAGGTTTTATTCTGTCGTAGATGATTTTTTCGTAAATTTTGCCTATTATGTTAAGAAGACTTATTGGTCGATAACTCTCAGGGCAGCTTTGGTTTTTATTTTTCTTTAGAAATAGAATGATTGAGGCATTTTTCCATACGCTGGGGAAATAATCAGGAAACTGATTTGCCACCTGCTGAGCTGTGGTGCGCCTGCTCCTTTTTGCTGATAAGACGATGTATCTGTCTTCTGCTGGCGTCGTACTTCTAACACGACCTCCCCCGTGCCGCCTACTACACATTCCAGTAGTTTTAAATGATTTCCACAGCCGTGAAACAACGCCGTGAGTGATGTCGAACTGCCCATCTGTTATTTTTCGCCCTTCTTCGGTCTTTCCAATAATTCGACCACGCTTAAAATCATCAGGTGATATCGGAAAGACATGCCGAAAATTTCAAGTTCGTCAACTAAATCTTTCCTGTAGAACTTTGACTTGAAACAACAACTCTCCACACAGGTCAAAACCTTTAAAACTCTTATCAGCGCTATCACGTGATGAAAAGATGTGGGAAAAAAATTTTGCTTACGTATACCTCTTCTTACTATATCCCGCACTTATTCTAATTTCTACCTTTTGCTTCCTTTCATTTTGTGGTTGCTATGGATGATAGTGTTATCCGTCCTTAGCAATTGTCCAGCAGTGTATTTGCTTTTGGAACCTTTTCCTTTCATCAGGAGAAGTCCTCCTAAAACAAATATTAAGGCAGATTCTCTACGTGACTGCACACTTCTATTAAAGCGTTTATTCTATTGCTTTGAAATTCTGAACATATTGGGTGAAATCTGTAAACTCATTTCATGCATGCTTCGATTCTGTTCTTTAATTGATTTTCATTTTAATCTCCAATTATTTCAAATTGAATCGAAGTATTCGGTTTCTGCAAGCAACTTTTTTCGCACCCAACTGAAGAATGTGTCTTCAGGAAACGCATTATTCACATCTGAAGTGTGCTCACTCGAATGCTCCTGGATGGTTACTGTTTTCGAATGATCCGAAGTTTGAGTATATTCACAAACCATTCTTTTTTTTGGAGCAGATGTTTTCTTCTTCGCAAACTCGTCAATTTCTAAAAAAATCTTTAACTCCCGAACTTCTTGTTCCAATGCTGCATTTTTGCATTTTACCACTTCAAATTCCTCATTTAAATCCTCCATTCTTTTTGCCAATATTTCAGCACGCCTGCAACCCTCACATTCTATGAGTAGGAATTTTTCACGTGTTTGCTTCAGTGTTAGGTTTTTTTGCATTCAGTGGCTTAACACTGACATCGGCAACACGTTTAACACTCTGATTTCTGGGCATGCTGATTTCTTGGCTCTCCTCTCCACAAAAATGCAGCCATTTTGCATCTGGCCCTGTTCCTATCTGACCACCACTTTTAAAAAAACAGTGGTCGATTGCCTTTCCGGCACTCCATCTTTTTCTTCGATCGGGCATTAAAAAAGTGTGAATGAAATTCAAAGCAAGCCTAACTTGTCCGTCTGCAATGCCCGTCGCAGAAAACGCTCCACTCATGGAGCATTTGAAAACATCACCCTAAAAAAGAAGTTACAAAATTTTAATCATGAATGATTTATAACAGCGTTTTAATTACTTTTTGGACAGCGTTAATTAAGTTAGACCATTTCAAAAATAATTTAAGGAACTTAATCAGTTATTAAATCAAAGAAGTTCATAAGAAAGTTTTAAAAAAATGTTTCAAAAATTTAGGAAAAATCTCTCATTATATTTAGGGTGAGAAATTCAGGCTCAGTTTCTTATTTTAAAATATCACACATATATTTCCTATAATATCTCACTCAATTAATATCACCTATATTAATTTGAATTATTATTATAATTTATGTGTCTTAAAAAGGTTTCTTTCTTTCTAAGAAAACACAATTCACTCCTTAGTAATATGCAATATATATTATAAAAATTGCCACAAACGTATAGAAATCCATTAAAAAATTTTTATATATTGTAAAACAATGCATATTTTTTCCAAGCACTTTACAGAATATGTATTAAATTGATAGAGAAATATATCACAGAAAACAAAAACAATGTCTGAAATATTAAAGCAGAAAAGCATTTTCAAATGCCACAGAAGTTTAGGCCCAAGTAACAATATTTATTCAGAAATTTTCAATTTTCTGGATATGTACTATTTTGAAATTTATAGAAAAATTCAAAGCGTGCCTGAACTTTTGTGGAGCCCTCTATTTGCACGAAAACTAAGTAACTGTACAACACTGGATATCAAATATTGAAACAAACTACTGCATTACTGACGAATATATTTATTATAAAATTAAATTTATCTTACATTTTAAACGATAAAAAAAAGGTTTTAAAAAATAGTTAATATTAAAAAAATATTTTCATTAATTTTTTATTTTGAGTTTTTTTCCTTTTTTTTTTTTGAATTAATGATCAAAATTTATTATGATAGAAACCTATTTTGATGCTAATCTATAGTAGAAAAATTTTTCAGGAAATCCTTATAGACAATGCTACCTAAATATTATAGGAAAAAATTATGCAAAATCATAAATAGTATAGGTTTTATTTCATAAAAATTAAATAAAAATTTATATATTAAATATAAATTAATTTATGATCTACCTGCAGTATGTGGAACATGGCAGGATAAATATCCCTGTTCCAATTTCCAGCGCAGGTGATTGCATTGCTCAGAGCTTTGCTGGTGAACAGCTCCAGGACCATCACTCCATACGCCCACATATCAAAAGCCTTGCCATCGACCTCTGTCACACCCCCGAGTGACAGGCAAGCTTCTGGAGGTCTATACACACTCGGCAATCCAAGTTCATTCCAGAAAAACAAAATTAAATTATTATGCAAAACCTTCACCGTGAGTCAAAAGTAACCCGGGGAAATCGAATCATTATAAAATTAGCAGCAAGCGAGACAACATCTTGGAGTTGTTTGAAAATTAAAGAACGTTTACTCAGCTTCAAGTTGGCCGGATGCAACACACCAAAGCAATTTTAAAGAGCTATAACAGTTAAACTTATTTTGTTTAGATGTGTCAGCTCGAAATGTTAATTTTGTATTTAGCTTTATTCTGTCTTAAAATCAAAAATTAAATAAAATGACAGCATACGTCCACTTTAACATTAAAAAGACCGTGTAGTCATTCTTAATAAAGCATTTTAGGGTTTGTATTTATTTTATATTATAACCGCCATTGAACAACCAATCCAATTTTAGATTTTCAACTACTAATGCCCTGCTCCATAGCCTTGTAATTTTGAAAATAATCCAGAAGACAAGGGAACTCCTGAATCAAGTATTGGGCGAAAATTGACTTCGTGAAGGATTTTTTGATGGAACTAACCCGCATTTGTGTTACATGTAGAGGAAAATCTCACTGGTTAGCCAGACGGCAAGGAGACTCTAACCCATTATCCGTCTACCACTGAGGATATTTTACGTCAGCAATGCGGTTGGTGCAAGCTGGATGCGGAATTCGTATCGTATTAAATTATCTTCAGTATTGAAGTATTGGTAATCGCTGGGGGGCATTTATCGCATTCGTTACCAATGTAAACCTAGCTATATTGGATATTGTTTAAATATACCGTATATATATGTTTCACTGTATTTTTAATAATACATGTTTTTATTATAGAGTTATGAGAAAAAGCAATTGTAAGAAAAATTGTCAAATTATTCAACGTTGTGATTCGTAGTAGAAAAATTCGTCCGTTTGTGTTAAAGAGATTATAATCTAATAATAATCTTAGTTAAATTTGAAAACATTGCAAATAAAAAAACTAAATAGGAAAATAAAATTAATCTTAAAATGAAAATAAACTAAGCAATACATTTTGCCTAATATGAAACTGATATTAAATGGCTCACCTTGGTATTGCCTTTGTCGCAGATGCAAGACAAGAGAAGTCACATATGACAGCTCTGTAATCTTGCGAAATCAAGATGTTATCGGATTTCAAATCCAAGTGACACGCCTCATTGGAGTGCAAGTAAGCCAAACCACAAAGAGTATCATAAAGCCATGATTTGAGGCAGTCTAGGGCACTTGATTGACTCAAAAAGTGCTCGTTTTGGACTGCATCCTTCAGAGTGCCCCTGTGTACGGGCATTACAAAAACTCCTACATCAGGGTTACTGAAGCTAATATATCGCAGGAGGGGGATTATATTTGGGTGGCGCATTTTTGGCCAAATTTCAATTTCACTTTTTTTAGTGACCTCAAGAGATACAACTTTGACGGCAACTTCTTGGCCAGAGAAGTCCATCATTTTGTATACGTCACCAAAAGCGCCAGACCCAAGCTTTTCAATGCATACGAAGTGATTAGCTTCTAAAATTTTCATGGCATCTCTTTTGTGTTGGTATCGCTGCCCGGATGAATCGGGGAGCATGGGTTCTTCTTGACCCAAATCATGATCACTTTCATCAAAATGATCACCCATTTCTCAATTTTCTTTCTCAAAGCGCAGGAAAAAATATTTTCCAAATCAATTTGCTGTTAAGCAAGAACTCTAAAGCACACAATCAGTCTTGAAAGTACAAGTTGGAATGACCAAAAATGGTTTTTCCAAAGAATTTTTACTAGTTTTTAACAATGAATATAGTTTATTTTTCATGTACCAACAATCGTATTTTAATTTTTAAGAAATAATGAAATGTTTTATTCAATGAAAACATGATTACATTTTCTACTGTTAAAAATAAAGAATCTGCATTTCATTGTTCAAAGTCAATAAGTTAAATATTAAAGCAAACATGAATTGTTTAAAAACATTGTATGTTGAAATGAAATATTAAGGCAAACATTAATGTTATTAATATTTTACCATTAAGTACCAGTTAAAAACATTTAAATTCAAACACGAATAGTTTAATACCCATATAATATAGTTATCAATATACAAGGTGTTGCTTGATGACCAGACTTGATGCATCGATATAGAATCCTTATTAGCAATGAATTTAAAAATGTATACTTATTAGAGGTCACATATTAATTAAAAACGCTATCAAAATAGTTCAAATTTTCTGTGAGGATGGCGAGAAAAAAAAATCAAAATCTATTTGATTGTTGAGAAATTTAAAAGTGTTTCTGAAAATCAACTCTTTTAACTCCTCTTTATTTTCACCGGCTATCAAATGGTTCCAACTTTTCTGTGGTGATTATAAAGTTGAGTTGATTTCTACAGCACTTAATGACTTCATCTCATTTTCTCATTCTATTGCTACCAAAGCAAAGTTGCTCTACCTAAACAATTTTTTTGACCAGTTTGTATTTGATTATTCATACACTACAATGAAAGATATTTTGATCCTAAACCTATTTAAATATAAATGAAATTCATATTAATTCAGATACAAATATTATTTTTCGTAATCAAATAACAAAATAGCGAAACGAAATCCATGTGAGGGAAACAAAAGAATACAAGCAAATATGAAAAAAAATGAAAAGGAATTAATGAACAATTCAAAAAGTAAGTGACTGATTTTAATGCGGTTGCTGCTGCTATTTAAATTACCATGTTAATTCTAGGTGTCATACCAGTAATAACAACACGTAAAGTAGGTGCAAGAATAAGTTTCCATCGTTTCCTTTAATTACACTCATAACCGAAAATGCAATTTTATATTTAAAAAATGTGGCTGGGTGGGGCAGTTGGTTTGTCGTCGGCCTTCTGAGCTCAAGTCTGCGGGTTCGATCCCCGGCCCAGACACCAGATTTTCGGGATGCAGAAAATCCTCAGCGGCCATGTCGTATGATTATGCGGCATGTAAAAGATCCCTGGGGTGCCTTATTGGCTCTTGGCATTTCCGGCAAAATTAAATTCCTAGTGCACTTTAGCATCCAAATAGAGTCTCGGTGCTGCCATCTAGTATGGCAGAAACTAGACGTCCAAATTAACAGGACCAACGGTATCTCACCCATTGTGGTGGTCCTGAAAGAGTGGATACCACCTCTGGAGAACGCAGTAAGTCTGCTCATCGGGAAAAACTGATTGTGCAGCTCATTGGAAATAAAATAAAAATATTAAAAAAATCTCTAAAGAATATAGAAAAGAAAAGGGCAATAAAATCTTAAATAAATAAAAATGGAAATATTCTAATCGTGTTTTTAATTCAGATCTGTATTTATTGATTAAAAGATTGTTTAATAAGTTCCCTTTATTCTGTGGCAGTAAGAGTGTTGTTTTGGTTTTTAATAAATTGATTTATTACCCACATGTTCTCTGTTCGCACATCGTCTAATGGATGATATGTTTTAAAAAAAAGTAACCAATTGAAGGTTATAGTTGGACCTGAAAATTTAAACTTTCACTCAGTAACCAGTGGCTGGTAGATTCTAATAATTTAGACGCCTATTTTTCCTCTTTCTTAATGAGTCAGTGACTGATATCATTTAATAGCCACTCTTCCAATCGATATCTTTTCATTTACTAGTGGCCTGAAACATTAAGAGGGAATTTTAGCTCTCCGATCTTAAAAATGATAAGAAAATTTCAATTAGTCTATTTGAGAGGAAGGCGCTAAAAATGGTGTCTTCTTCTTTTCACCTAACCCATATTTTAAACTATTAAACGTATTGCTAATTTTTTAATAAAATTATTTTTATATCAATTTTAAAATACAAATTTTTATGCAAATTTAAACATTTAACCAGTAAATTTATAAATGCAATTTAAAAAACAAACTGAAATTTAATTATAACTTTGAAACTTTATTCAAAATAAAATATATTCATTTAGAAAATATAAGATTAATTCTCAGAAATGGTAAGGCCAGAAATAATTCCCTGCAATTTGTAAATTAATGTACGTTGTTTGAATAATTAGAGAACAGTTAAATATCATAACTGAAAAATATAATTTAATGAATACTGTTCTAAAGCTAATACAAAATAATAAAAAAATTTAATTTAGAAAATATTGCATAGACTTACAGCAAATTAACTGTGCATATTCCTGCTAAGAAAGTGGTAAAGATAGATACTTAGTGTTTTGCATTTTTTAAAATGAAACAAGTAATTCTTCTAATGAAGATGGCTTCATGACGATTTCTATGATATTGAAAAAAAACAAAAAAAAAACTGAAGTAGTTTCTATCAAACTAAAGAGGAAAAATGAGAGATGCAAAAAAAAAAAAAAAAAAAACAAACAAAAAAAGTTAATCAAGTTAAAGTTAGCATTGATTTTTTAGTTATAGTTACTCATCATTAATATAAAACTGAAAATAAAAAAACCTAGAATTGGAAATCATAGTAAAATTTATAAATTTTTCAAACTAAAAGAATTACTTGTCTCCTTAACAGTTTTATACTCAAGTTTATGATCAGTTTTGTACTTATAACACTTTTAACTTAACTTTATGATGGATAAAAAAACTGTTGAAGTGTCCTATGCCAACTTTATGTATGCATTAAATTTAACAAACATAATAATTATGCCTAGAATAACTGTTAATCCATAGTATTCTTCGCAAATAAAAATATTATATATTTTACATACTAGATAAAATGCTTGAGGTATTTTAAATTAATATTTATTATGCAGAATTTATGTTTACATAACTTATCAAAAAAATATTAAGTAAATATAATTTAAGAAATGAGCCTAAAAAATTTTTTCATTGAATTTTGTTTTCACAAATTTTTTAAAAAATATTTGCATTTAAAATATTAATAGATATTTAAGTAAAATTTAGAGCATTGATGCTAGAAACATTAATATTTGAAGTTATTGAAGTATCAATATATGGATGTCACGAAAGAACTATTAAAAACAAACGAAATTTAATTTTCTTGCAATATATTGAATTTTATTTCTGTTGTACTTATAACTACATAATTTCATTTATTATTTTTAGTTCTTTCCATTTCATCTAGCTTCTTTTTTTAATTTTTAACATAATACTATATACACTCATTCGCAATAGACTCGGCAGTAACTACAGAGGAAAATTGTGCTCAACGTGAATAAGTAGTGCTGTTTGTCATATTATGTTGCTATGAGGGTCAATAACATAACACATTATTAGCAAACAGCCAATTTTTAGTTATAAATTTTCCTATTTAGGGATTTACTATGTAAATGCATTCTTTAACTTTGTACATGCTCATAAAAATGTTCTCTTAGTTATCATATGGTTATTTTAAAAATTCAAATCATAATTGGATGTATAATTTTCAGGGAGGAAATAGGGAAAGTAGCCAGAACCATTGATATAGCAGTCAGTATGCCAAATATAAAAACTGCCTGTCAAACTATGTATAGAGCCAGGGCAAAGGCATTACCGCCTTTGCCAAACACTTTGGCAGAAATCGAAATCAATGGGCAAAAACCATTGACAATCGAGACTTTCTCCTCGTTGATGACCAAATAACTGGAGAAAGAATTTTGGTTTGTACATTTTCTTTATGAACTTGCTATTAATCATATCAGCCAGCTAACACTTTTGAGAAGAATAATTTTCTCAAGCAGTATTATTATATCAAGCAGTATTCCAGAAATATCAATTTTTATTTTGCCAGAACATCCTATAATATGTTTATTATGCATGTATATGCATTCTCAATTTATTTATGTGTAAATGTAAGATTTTTGTAAAAATTAAATTTAAAAATTTCATATATTAATAGAAAAGAAATATTTTCAATTTTATTAATTTAATAGAAAAGACATATTTAAAAGAAATTTCATATATTTTTCTCACTTTCCTTTTTCCATATTTAAAATATATAATTGTCGTAAAAAAACACAAGTACTTAACTGAAAATAATTAATAGGCCAGTATGGCGATTAAAAATAATTACAATCCAAATATTACAGTATCCTCTACACAGCACTAGCAATGTGAATGGTCAAACATTAAGGTGAATTTAATATATAATAACAATAAACTTAAATAATGAGTTTCATCCTCAATCTTAAACTTTGCATAATAAATCGTTTTTCTTTTTTTTTACCACATGTAAAAATTCAATCAAAGAAGCTTAATTGCTTTCTAAATTTAGAATATGTCAGAGAACTTTTAATTTAAAATGACACAGCTGTCAATTAATATATAACAAAACATTGATAGCTGTCGCTGCTATTTAATATCCAACTATTTCATAGACACAATGCACTAATTCAGGGTGGCCACTCAAATCAGATTTCAGAATTCTCTGATTTTTCCAGGTTTTCCAGAAAAAATCTTAAAATTTCCAGGTCAGTGTGTTATTTTTTTAAAATCATTAATTGTAGGTGGGTACAAAAAAAGTGTCAATATTATGAAGTATTTTATTTAAAATGTTATTCTCAATATATCATAATGAATAGATGTGGAGAAAATAATATGTTTAGTATTGTAGAATATGTTGTTTTAAATGAATAATTTTTTTTAAAAATTGTTAAGCAGTTTTTGCACAAAATGTACGAGATAGCAAATACAGAGTGACCTTTGG